ATATGCATGTCAAGAGAAAGAAAGCTGCGACAGTGGCAGTGACGAGCTACTTGACATAGAATGGTACATGAAAAGCATATTTGCTGGTTATCAGGAGTGCGCCATTGGTGACGGTAGGGGCTCTGTTCACTCAATAAGGGATCGTAAACAAGTGGCAGCGACGACAAAAGTTCTGAGTTGTTTCCTATACAGCCGGAGACGGATGGTAGACGGGTGGTCTGGTGGCGGCGACGAAGAAACATAGTGAGTTGCTTTGTTTGCCCCGCCGCGGTGGTCTAGTGTCTAAGGTACTCGGCTGCTGATCAGCAGGTCACGGGAGTGATACCCAGTTGCGGCGGCTGCATTTTCGACGAAGACGGAAATGTTGTAGGCCCGTTTGCTCAGATTTGGGTGCACGTTAAAGAACCCCAGGTGGTCGAAATTTCCGGAGTTCTCTACTACAGTGTCTCTCATATTCATATGGTGGTTTTGGGACCGTAAGCCCCACATGTCAATCAATCAATCAATCTATCAATCAGTTGCTTCGTAGATAAACGGTGACGGTGAAGCACGTGACCGAGTGACAGCGGCAGCATACGTCAGCGGTGTGGTAACAGACGACGGAGCATGAGTTGGCGGCACTGCTTCAGAATCTTGTTATTCAATGACCTAGCGAGGCGAAGGTGACAAGGGCGCTATTGACTCGGTTGTTCTTGTGTTTAGAGATAGCTGCAGTTCGGCTTCCTTGGGAATGGATTGCTTTATAAGTGACGGCAAAGCAGAGTGTTCAGCGGTGCCTTGGAGAAAGTCCAGAAAAGAGAGATCTGCGGTGCCTTCAGCTGCACAACTTGTGGAAGCACGCTGCGTCCGCAGCTATTCAGAGCTCTAGAATAGCTGAGTCACCTCGGTGACCAGCTAAGCGGGACGGCGAAATGCTTTTGAGAGAGCTTTTGCCAGTCGCAACCAGGTACTGAAATCACTTTTATGATTTTTGCACCGCAGTTTTGCCACGCACATCAGGTAAACGTTTGCATCTGTGAGCTTCACGGCTGCATTCAACCTATTCAAATCGTGCACGAGTTCGTACTCTGTACTCTAGTTTATCATATCTTCATCGCCTAATCCACCATTAACAGGAAGGGGGGGGGGGGCACGTTGCCGCAGTGCGCCAGAGAAGAAAACAGGCCCGGGTGCTGGATTCAGAGTTTCAGAGACAGCCAGTCATTGCAGAAGGTCGTTTAAGTGTCTGGCTACAAAATTCCAGGAGTTCCAGGTTAAGGACCAGATGTACTCCGCACCTCAACCAATTGAAAGTAGGTGTTCTACAAGCTGGAATATACTCAGTGAACGGGAGATTTAGTGCAAGACTATCTAGAAGCGAGCGAGTGATTTCAGTGCGTCTTCCTTATTTACTCGAGCTCCGCGTCCCCTGCACTCGTTACACATTCTAAGGAAGTATAAAAATTGTTTTTACTCTTTTTACCATTCACTCGTATGGTCTAGCTATGGTCCTAGTTACCACAATATGAGATTTCGCGCTACTTGTAGCGTCAAGCTAATAAAGGTGTATGGTCTTTGTCATCATGTCACAAGGCAAGACGTCACTTTCCCTAACCAAAGTAAATAATGTGTGTCGCCGTAGTCCAAAATCAATATAGTTTGTCCATGAATTAAACATATACGTCCTTCAATAACGGCGTCGCGACTGACGCAACAATATCGGCGCATTTCATAGAACCAGGAGAACCGAGAAAGAAGGCATGCTCAAATTGTGTAATGGGGCCCCTTTATTATACGAGTGAACACTTGGCAGTCATTGTAGCACTGCTATGAGGGGGACGCAGATATCGCGTATTGATTTATTAATCAATTGATTGACTGGTTGACACTTTAATATTGGCTCAACCCGCCATATTATCAGTGGTACCTTGCTATACAAAAAACTACCTAAAATGTGAATTTATTTACGAATATATAGCTTTGAAATAAGTTGAAATATTTTTTGATAAAAAGAAAAAGTGGCAGATCCCACGTCCAGTGGGAATGAATGATATGCCAAGCACGAATGAGGAATGTTAATATGTCACTTTAAAATTAGCACAACGTCACGGCGTAGAGGTAAATGATGCCGTACTTGACTTCCGTATTATGCTTATCATGTTTTGATGTGTCGTTTGCTATCGTCATCTACTCACGTCACGTGATACCAAATTTAGTATAACTGGAGCTAGCGCAACTGCCGCGAGCATGCTATGAGCGTGGTATGTTGTCATGTTCTTACATGACATGCGTGTCAGAATTATCATCTTTGCACCAGTCATATATTTCGTGATCCATTGACGTCACGTAACACAAAATTTGGTATATGTGGAGCTAGCAAAACGGCTACGAGCGCATCATGAAGGGCCCAATATACTGCAATGTAGCGTTGACGCACGCGCACACTGAGCACAGCAACGCTAGGTTTGCGAAACGAGAGCACGCTATTCACTATTTCCTAAACGCCTCCCTGGGCGCCGCCATAGCCCTCCTGGGGCTGTGCAATATGGCGCGTCCCCTTGAAAATGCCCTGGCAACGCTGCACCCTTAGCCTTTGTACTCTCGCGCACAGCCCATCATGCGGTGTTTTTTCCTTCCTGTGAAAAGATGTATAGTCTGAAGCCAGGCGCAACCGACGCGACCAGCGTCCATCGGTGCGGCCCGACGGACACGGGCGCGAAGTGCGACATGCTGCGTTGCGCGCCGATGTGTTACCCAGACAACACTCCGTCTCCCTCTTTTCGTCACGGAGGGACGCCGGACGCGCTGAAACGTGCATGCGTCAAAGCGACGCAGCGCCGCGAGCGCCTGCGAATATATCGTAGGACCAACGCCTGGCGAGGCAACGCCGGCGCGACGCAACGAAATGAACGCCGGTAAGCACGCGCACCATGTCAATTAAAAATGTATGGGTGCCTTGACTGTGGCATGTAGTCATGTTCTTAAATGACCCGCATATTATGATTATCATGTCTGCACCAGTCACATTCCTTCTCCATTCATTGGCGTCACGTAATACTAAATTTGGCATATGTGAAGCTAGCGAAACGGCGGCGGGCGCATCATCAGTGTGGCATGTAGTCATACTGTTACATGACACGCATGTCGTCATTATTATCATGTTTGGATGTGTCATTTACCTATGCCGTTCATTCTCGTCAGAAATACCTAATAAGTATAAGTGAAGCTATAGCAAAACGGCCGCCAGCGCATCATGAGCGTGGCATGTGGTCATGTTGTTACATGACAAGCATCCCTTGATTATTATGTTTGCACCAATCCCAGACCTTCGTCATTCATTCACGTACTTTAAAACCAAATTTGGTATATGGGACGCTAGAGAAACGGCCGCAAGTGCATCATGAGCGTGGCGTGTAGTCATGTTGTTACATGACCCATATGTCCTTATTTTCACGTCAGAGTCTTTCGCTTGTGTTTGCATGCAGTCATGCCATACCATACCAGTTTTTCAACATGCCATGTCAGCGAAACCACCACAACAGCTGCAGAAACGTGAAATGAAAATCATGACATTTATGACATCCATGCGGTGATTTTCATGTTACGACTTGTCATATATGTTCTTCATACACCTTTGTCATGTCATACCAAGTGTGGCATCGATACCAATATCGAAAAGGCCAGGAGAGCTAAAAGTCGTACGCGGCAAGATAGATACGCTCAAAGTCACCGAAATTCGCTAAGAAAGGCTTCGCAGTTATAAAGAAGGACGACTGTCCTAAATAACATGTTTGATTTCGAGAACCCTAGAATTGAATTTGTTTAAAAGAAAGAAAGGAATAATGTTTTTAATAGTTACGCTTGATTTTGATAACCTTAGCATTCGGTTTATCTCGTCTCACGTTGGAAACCGCGTACAACCTCACAAACGGCTTTGTACCGAAAACCCCGCACAGCAGCCCCAAAGGGAAGAACTACCGGAACTGACTAATTGAATAAAACACTTCGAAGAGGTTCTTCTAAAGGTATTTTACTCTGATTAGTAAGTAATCTGCACGTTAGTGAGAAGCACTCTAGGGATTCACACTTTTTGCAATGTAGGCATAAAGATGACTGCACTAGACCAGACCTGTGTAGTTAAAAGTTCATTAGTGGGACTCGGCATCGTATTCTGATAACTGATATCTTGGCCCTTCTGGACGAGTACCATCAATAATATTTTTATAATTTTATTTGAGGTGAGGAAACTCAGAAGCTCACAATCTACACTTAATGAATTTGTCCAATGTGGCGCTTTTTTTAATCACGCTGCAGTTACAAACGTGAATATCGGCAAAATTGAAATAGCAACAAACACCTAATGTAACTTCTTTTTGCTCTTCACCACACAGCGACAAAGTCATGTCTTCATCTTAAAAATGTTCACCTCAGTCTTGTGTTGCGGTCCTATCACAAAGCATTACCGTGTCGCCAGCGCCGGAGTACCAGATATCATTGGTGTTCTTAAACTGTCCGCTGTCGTTGCAAAACTGACCGCTGTCGTTGCAAACCTTTAGCAGAGTCTATAACAAAGTGAACAGCTGCTTTGTTGCACTTGTTGACGTATTTGGATGGTAGCGGTTACTCTGTAAAAAAATAATTATGGCACCATAGGAACTTCAGTGTTCTTGTAGTAATATTCGATGATACTTATAAATAGTTGTCGTCATGCTACAGTCGTTCGTTTTCTTATAGTATGGTTCAGGCATCCACCTATAATCAAAGTAGGTTAGTCGGGCTGGCGGCGCTGCGCAGGAGGTCAGTGTAATTACGCTATCGCGACCTACTCTTCATGGGGACGGGCAAGCATCCTCTAATCTTCGCATAAATGCGTGATAATTCATACAAGAACTTACATATTTACGTTTTGCAGTTAAACGTTTCAACGACAACTTAATGGGATGCTAATAAATACTGATTTTTGTACGAAATGCCCTAGTAAATGCTCTGACTTATCGATAAGTCTGACCGGGACTTTGCAGAAACTCACAGAAGAGAAGTCGTACAAAAACCGGAACGACCACCAGCAAGAAAGCCTCAGGGCTCCCCGAATAAAACACCTGAAAATCTGAAGCCTTCTCCCGAATACGTCGATAGTGTCCTGAAGGTAAGCGACTTTGCATCTAAGTTCTCTACAAACATTTATTTGCAGAACTCAACCACGTATAACAGCTACATTATATAGAGATTCGATGGCCAAATATTGAGCCATCTGAACTGCAAATGTCATATTGTGTTGGTAAATTTGCCTCAGATGACGCAAAATCAAAACGCATTTTGCTTGTTAGTGGATAGTACTTTCATCATTCATTTTGGTCGTCCAATAATATTCTAACTCTAACGTAACTTCGCGCTTTTTTTCGGATTGGTACACCTTTCAGAATGTGATTATTTCCGTAATTAGGCTAAGATAGTGTTACAGGACCTAGCTTTATGTGATCTAAGCATTCAGAGAAACCACTGATATGGTACCATATCATATTGCCTCCCTTCTTTATGAAGTTTTCTTATCACCCCGTTACGCTGTCCGCGATTATCAGCGCAAACCGCGCCTGCACTGTTCGAGAAGCTTCAGGGCTGCCATAAATCATTTTGTGAAGATTACGTCCACGTCATGGGCATATCATGTTATTCTGGAATCTATGTCTCTGCTAGCTATAAAGCTAGGATGTTCGATGGAGTGTATAAATGAAGACACACTTCGCCTCTTGTCAGTTGATCGACGACTAACGCTAAGTTCACCGATATTAGTGCCAGTGCCTTGCTGCAGTCTTGATTTCTTTTTTTTTTGTGGCCACAAGTTCGGCTGAATAAACAGTTTGATTTTTGACCTACTGTCTGCTCTCTTCTTCGTTCTCGCGACCCCGTGACATCTGGTGGAGGTGCTTCATGATCCACGTACCGCACGCCCCCTTTCAGCCATGAACCAAGTCCACGTCATAGAGAAGACACCGACGCCAACCACGACCAGCGAGTCATCCGTAGGCGACAAAGTCTACCAGCGGAGTACGGGCCTTTACCTAACAATACTCGCACGTTTACCATGACAACCACTGCTGCAACGATGACTGCCGCTGCGCCACTGTCTGTGGCGATTCTGATGCACCCACCCCTATGGCTAAGGAACTTTCATGGAGCACCTAATGATGACCCGGAAACCTGGCTTGAGACATATAATCGAGTCGCCTTCTTAAACAGCTGGGACACCGAAGAAAAACTACGCCGCATATACTTCTACCTTGAAGATGCCACAAAGACGTGGTTCGAGAATGGGGAGTCTACGATGTGAAGCTGGGATGTCTTTCGGACGACGTTCGTCCACACGTTCATGAGCGCCGTCCGTATTAGACGTGCTTCAACTATCCTAGAGACGCGCGTGCAACTCCCCAACGAGAACGTCCAAATCTTCATCGAGGAGGAGACCCGGTTGTTCTGCCATGGACGAGGAAAAAAGATCCGATTCCTTATGCGAGGCGTTAAAGAATTGTTTACGACGCTTGCGCGCAACCCACCAGAGACGGTCGAAGAGTTCCTCGCCGAGGCTACCACAATCGAGAAGGCACTGGAAATGCGTACGAGGCAGTATGACCACCGCTCTTCAGCAGTACACTACTCCGAGGCTCGTACCCACAGCAACGGCAACTTGCACGAGACAGTCAGAGCAATTATGCGGGAAGGGCTGCGCTAGCTATTACCTTCGCTGCAGCCTTAAGATAATGCACTCGCCGACATTGTGCTTGAAGAAGTTCGGAAATTGCTTGGAGTGTCCGAAGCTCCGCAACCTAAGCCGCAAGTGATGAGCTACGCTGATGTGACCCGTCTCTGCGCTCCCCCTTCCCGCCCACGCCAAGAGGCTGCACCATCGCAGTTTCGTCGCCAGCCGCCACCGTGGCCGACGCCATACCGATCATCCGTCGGTCAGCACAACGCTCCGAGAAAAACCAACGTGTGACGTGCCCCCCCCACCGACCTCTCTGGTACCACTGCGGAGAAGCTGGCCATACCTACTGCCGCTTCCAGTACCGTCAGATGGAACTGTGTGGTTTTTGCGTAGATGCGCCACGTCCACAGAGAGGGGGAAAGACCCTGCCACTTCGCCCACTACCTTGCAGCAGCGCAGTAGACACCCCGATGATCTTCTTGTTCGCCATCACGTGGCCTCTACATGTGGCCTCACCGCCGACCATACACTGGTCCAACCCGGGGTCGGTCTCCTAGCCCTGAATCAGGAAACTAAGGGCAGCAACCACTGGAAGCGTGGTTGCAGTACGACGAACTGCTGAATATCCTCCGCTGCCGACGACGACGCTCCGACAAAACCTCAAGAACCCTCCGCAACATGAACATTGCCCTGAAATGAAAACTCCCGGGCCAGAAGACTGCATGTTGACGTAACGTCGAAGCAGCGGTACAAATCATCGTAGCCGAGATCCGACACCGCGATCCAACTGCAATGCGAGTAGACAAACTAGTGACCTCGACGTCCTCATTGAAGGCCACAGCATCACAGCTCTCGTCGCCATTATAGCCAATTATTCCGTCATCAGTGGGACATTCGCCGCGAAGCTAAAGAAAGTTAGGTAAACTCGGGAAGGCTCCAAAATATGAACAACGGAAGGCCACCTAGTGCAGACAAGAATTTGCACGAATCTGCATGAAAGAATTGGATCGTCGTAGCTAGCGACTGCCTCACTCACTACGCCGAAACAAAAGCCCTACCCAAAGGGAGCGCGGAAGAGGTAGCCGAGAATCGTCCTTCGTAATGGCGCCGCACAAATTGTCATCACCGATAGAGGTATGACCTTTACTGCTGATTTGACTCAAGCGATCTTGAGACACAGCCAGACGAGCCACCGCCGCACCACCACCTACCACCCACAGCCAAATAGTCGCACCGAGTGGTCTAAACAAAACAATCACCGACATGCTGGCTATGATCGTCGACGTCGAAAACAGACGTGGGACGCCATCCTTCCGTACGTGACCTTCGCATACAACGCCGCCATGCAGGAGATGACGCAGATGCAACCATACACGTTGGTCTATGGTAGGAACCCAGCAACGACGCTGGGCGCAACGTTGCCTAACGTCGCTGATGAAGAAAACCACGACGTTACCCTCTATCATCAGTGCGCTGAAAAAGCTCGTCAACTCGTTTGCCTACGCAGCACGAATCATCAGACGACTGACCACTGCCGTTAGAATCTTCAGGTGACGCTTCGTGGAATACCAGCGCGGTGAACATGTTTCGGTATTGAAGCCGATACGCCGACGTGGACTCAGTGAAAAAATTTCTGTGACGATAGTTTGGACCATACAGGGTAGTACGTCGTCTCGGCCCACTTGACTACCAGGTTGTCCCCGACGGCATTACGAAATTTCAACAGCGCCGATCGCGACCTGAAGAAGTCCATGTCGCGCGCTTAAAGCCATTTCATGAACGTTAACGAACTGAAAGAGTGCATTTTGTTGTTGTTATCATTGCTGTACTGTACTTTATTATTTGCACTCCTTTACATTTATAATATTGCACTTTCATCTTGTGATAAAGCATTGGGACGATGCCTTTCTCAAAGGGGGGCAATGCTACGCTCCTTCAAGTTTTCTTATCACCCCGTTACGCTGTACGCAAGTCTCAGCACCGCGCCTACACTGTTCCTAAACCACGCCTAAAGTGCTCCTAAACCGCGCCTACACTGTTCGAGATGCTTCAGGGCTGTCGTAATTGATTTTGTTGCAATTTCACCCACGTCGTGAGCATTTCGGATTATTCCGGAATCTATGTAGCCGCTGTCGATAACGTTAGAATGATCGACGGTGAGTGTATAAATGCCGACACGCTTCGCCGCTTGTCAGTTGATCGACGACCGCGACTCAGTTCGCCGATACCAGTGCCAGTGTCTTGCTGGAGGCTCAGTTTCCTTTTTCGTGCTCCGCTGAACAAACAGTGTGGTCTTTGACCTACTATCTGCCCCCTTCGTCGTTGTCACGACCGCGTGACAATATTGACGCAGATGCCAGACGCCGACACTGTGAAACGGCTCAAATAAATGGCTCAATTTCTCGTTGATCTTAACTGTGGCTTTGCACAATCTGACAGGTGGCGTACGTATTTTCAGCACATAAGGAGCGAATCAACAATCAGCTGGCCACATAGAGCGTCTGTTAACGAAAGCTCTAAGGACTTGATATGGTCGAAATGAAGTAAAAAACAGATTTTATTGTGTGTCAAACAAAATGAATAAAGGTATGCCTTCGTGAGCGACCATCACCTCGCAATTTCTTGCCATTAGTCAGAACGCCAAACGTATGCTATTCGCGATAAACACACGAAATCTTCATGAATCATTTTTGTTGACATGATTTCTCGTTTGCTCTTACATTTTGTTCTCCAATCTGCACCGGATTTCCCTGTTTCTAGTTGCCCCTATTCAGCAACAAAGATGAATGAACATTTGTAAGATGAAGTAATAATGAAGTACATACTTGTTCGAAAGATAATTACTTCAGCTTAGGTGCTGTTCACAGCAGAGTTCTAAAGTCAGTGCTTTGCTTCTGAGAGCGATATCTTGTCTTACGAACTTTCTTTATGAGTGTCGGGTACTAAACTGTTCGTGCGTGAAAAATACCAGGCTGTGCATAGAGTACTGGGCAGTTTCTTTGGGGAGCAGAATCAGTGGGATCCGACGCACAGGGGTAAGTTGTTTCTCCTTTCTGTATCTGCTTTGATAATGCATTTCTTCGTGCACTAGTTTAGGCCTCGGTTCCTCTTTTACCAATTGGCCGATCATTCACACTTTTAAATTACGCCTACTCTTAGTTCTCGCGAACTAAAAGTGAACCTTAAAAATGCGTTGTAGTCTTCGACTTAGCAGAAACATGTAATAATGCCTAAATTCCGAAATCGAGCACGATATTACAGTACTAAAAGATCCAACGCTGCAAGGCGTGGTATGCCGCCACTTTAGCCACTTTAGTTTCGCAAAACGCATATGAATGACATAAATGCGCGGTTAGGCGAAGCACAGAGACTAACTTCGAAGCAGCGTGAACGACATAATTGTAGTAGACGTGATGCTTGTAATTGTATCATGCTATAGTGATCGG